TGAAATTATTATGCTAACTTAGAAATATTTTCACTTAAACTATAAACTAAATTTGTAGGAGAATAATATCGAACTATTTATAAAAGGGTGTACATAAAGTTGCTAATACTAAATTAAAACTAAAATTAAATGCAAAGTTTCTAGATTAAAGATGTGTAAGGAAGTTTGATTATAATAAAAATTCTTTCCCCTTGCAAAGAGATTGTAATCAGTGTAAGTATCAATAGAATAAAGATGAAATTGAGGGGTTACGACAAACCTATTATTTACCCTTTCCCGAGTGCATAAAGAACATTGATTAATCTTAAGTTAAGTTCCCGATTGTATGGTAGTGTTGAGTAGATTCTAGCCTCTCACTTCCAGATTACCCACTATGCCTTCTCTATAAGACCTACTAGGGACTCAGGTTCTCAAATAAGACCAAATTAATAAAGGTTCTAGCCTGTCACTCTAGAATCATTAATTTTACACCCATCAAAACTTATCTTTTTATATGTTTGCACTCCACCTTAGACTTAGCATCCCCACCATCCAAGGTTTAGTGTGGTACTCACTAGTTGGTGAAATCGTAGCCCTCCTAGGTCATTATGTTTTGCATTGGATTTTAACATCACAAATGACCAGTTTGCAAAGTAAATGAAGAACCAGTGAAAATACCAACACAAATTGTGGGAATAAAAGAAACCTTAAAAAAATTATAATCCCACACATGATTACTTCTTATTGTAAGAAGAAAGAAAATAAAACAACTCAAAAAATATGGAGATAACAAAACAAAATATTATATATATATATATATATCAAGTTTACTAGACCAATCTTAAACAAAAGTATAAATACTTATCTCAAACTCTTCCCAACTAATCCTCTAACGTTTCTTGACTGAACTTGACTCCGCAAGACTCTAAAAACACTCATAATCACTAAACTGACACTATGGTGGCCACCCACCCTTAATGGTGGTCTAACCTACCCAAAATCAACTCTTTTTTCTCCTCTCTTAGACATGTAGAAATGTCTTCTATATATAGAGCTCTAAAAATATTTAAGAGTCACTTGAGGCACCTTTTCAAAATTCATCCAAATTCAATATATCTTGGCCAAACCGTTTCTGGAGCCTAAGAGCCCAACCGTTGCACCTAGGCGCCAGCCATCCAGACTCACTGGTCTTGGCACCAGTTCACCTTTTTTGTCCTTTGGCTTCATTTGACCCATTTTTGCTCCATTTTTGTTCCCTTTACTCTTCAACTCCATATCTTATACCTGAAATCAAAAACACGCAAAATACCTTTCATTAAAGCGTAATATCCTTAAAAACGAGCATGAAATACATAATAAAAATAGGTAATTTTGAAGTGTGTCAATTCCCTCAAACTTAAATGTTACTTGTTCTCAAGTAACCCTTGCATTATTTAAATCAAATATAATAGCTTATTATTAGTGGGTTTCACTTAAAGAATTTTATAATTTTGTCCTATAAATGTGATAGAAAAATTTTTAGAAAAATTTTCAATAACT